GAGTATTACTAGTATATAATAGCAATTCTGGTAATAATTCTCTCCTAGGAAATAAACACACGTACATATCATACACGTGCCATTGAAAACATACATATTACATACTTGCCACTTGGGTTCAAAATTTTCATGTGGCCCCCCTCCCCTGTTTTGGGTTTTTTTTGTTTGTTGAAAACATACATACGTGGCACATATTTTGGAGTTTTGATTGAATGATTTTCTCTCTCTCTCTCTCTCTCTCTCTCTCTCTCTCTCTCTCTCTCTCTCTCTCTCTCTCTCTCTCTCTCTCTCCTATCTTGAATTCACTTGATTGAATAGATGTAAAAGCAGAATATATATTTTACTACTGCTATGCTTTTTGTAGAATGATTATCCATTTATCAGCTTTAGATCGATAGATATAAAATATAAAAAAGTCAATGATTCATACAAAAAAGCTAAAAGGAAACTTTGTTCAGTTTGCATGCAGCCTTAAGCATTAACTAGTGGTTCAAGCTTTTAACTTGCATTGCATGTAAACCAAACTGCTGCTGCTGCTGCTGCTGCTATGTTTACCATAAAGAGCCCTTTCCATATTCCAGTTGTTCCCTCTGAACATCCAATGCCGAATTTGCGACAGATTTGCTGCACGAATGTATGTCAACGACCTGCAACGTCGGAATATCCCCCAAGCTACGAGGAAACTTCTTTAGTTTCCAGCACTTGTGCATAACGAGTCGTTGAAGCCTTGGAAAATGATCGTCAGATGTGTTCCACCTGCGGATCTTCAGAGCATCGAGTTTCAAGAATTTGAGCTCCCGGAACTCGTCGTCGTTGGTCTTCCATTCTTTTCCATCAAACACGGTGTAGAGCAGCTTTAGAGCCTCGAGCTTCGGCAGTCTTCCTATCATCGACATCTCGTCCCGAGACAATTTGAAGTCGTGCAGAGTCAGTTTCTTTAGGCTGGATGGGAGATTAAGAGTGTCCGGCAACTTCAAGTACTCACCGCCTAAGTAAGATATGTTAAGCGATTCAAGCATCGTAAGGCAATCATCCAACGCGACATAACGATGGCACTTCTCCGACGAGTCCCATAACGGCTTGGTTGCGCACTTGAGTCTGCGAACACGGGGTAAGCAGCATCTCAATACTTTCTCGTCGTCTTCATGAATAATCCAAAGACCGGAAACGCTTTCGAGGCCGTCCATTTGAAAGCTCTTCTCCGCAAGTGCCGCTCGTCTATGGCAAGATTCGCCGAATGTGGCGTGCTCTGCAATGTGCAGATGTCTCAATTTCACCAAATTTAGGAAATCCTCCGTAATCTCGACACTTCCGGGACCGTAGAGAAGAAGAAAATCAAGGTTCTCAAGGCGGCCTATCGATGGTGGTATGTGGTCTTCGGCGACTCTAACTGCCAAGTACCTCAAGTGAACCAGCTGCTCGATACCACTTACATTGATCGGATCATTTTTCGCTGACAAATCCAAGACCCGTAGAAGTTTCATTCTTGAATAAATGAATGAGATACCTGGCCAGTGACCCAGCCAAGAACGGATGTGCAGGCCGAAAGGTCTTGATTCAATTACATCGATGGCTTCAGGTGGGATACACACGCGATGGTTCCTCTCGTACACTGAAAATCGACTGTAGAAATCATCACAACCGCAGCAGCATTAGCATTAGCATCAGCATCAGCATTAGCATTACAAAAACGAAAAAAAAAATAATAAATAAATAAACAGAAGGAGCAGAGATAGCTTACTCTTTGATTACATTCATAAAGTTCTCTTGTTTAGCTTTTCTCAAGCACAATTCGCGCAGAAGATCGTGAATACTACAAGCTCTGACTCCTCCTCCCGATCGACTTTTGGCTATTAGTACAAGGCTGCGGTCTACTAGGTCCGTTAGATATCCTTCCGCCACATCCCGCGCGCTCTTCTGACCTTGTTCGAGTACAAATCCTTCCGCTATCCAAAGTGACGTCAACTTGCCGACAGGAATTTCGCTATCTTCCGGGAACGCTCCGAAGTAAAGAAAGCACGGTTTCAAATGAGCTGGCAAGTGCTAGTAGCTAAGTTCCAGTATCTTCATACACATACTAGAGTCTGTAGAAATTTTTTGACTAAGGTTTCCCGCAACCTCATTCCACAACCCCTTGTGGTTCCCCATGTTTGCAAGAACTGCAGCTATCACAACGACCGCGAGCGGTAGTCCTTGACATTGCGCTGCGATTTTCTTCCCGACGTCTACTAAATCTTGCGGAGGAGGATCTTTGCCCCACAACAATTTTTTCTTTAGTAAATCCCAGCACTGCTCGTGCGACAGGAAAGGGAGAGCACGAACTATACTACCCGGTGGCGCCACGTCTTTAAGCCGGCTGGTGATTAGTATCCTGCTTCCGTTTCCATCGTCCGGGAGATACCTTCCCACGTCATCCAACACAGCCGAGGCCCATACATCATCCATCACGATAAGGTATCTCCTCCCCTTTAAGGTTTTGTGTATCTCTACGCCTAAACTCTCGGCATCCATGCTCGAGATACTATCGCGGTCAAGGTCACATATTGACCGCAGGATATCGGCCAGCAGACGTCTCCTCTGATACTTCTCGGAGACAACAATCCAGGCACGGCGATCGAATCGGTACAGCGCAGCTGGTCCGTCGTACAGTTTCTTCGCGAGAGTCGTCTTACCAAGTCCAGGCATCCCGAAGATGGATATAACCACCAGCTGCTTCTCTCCTCCCGTAAGTTGATCAACAATTACCGTTGCCTCGTCCTCAATTCCCACAACAATGCCATCATCGACGGATGCGTTGATCTTGATCTCTTCAGGTCCTACTACCTTAATAACGTTCGAAAGCCTAGGTTTCAGATACCACACAGGAACATCTCCAACCCTAAATGAGTCGATAAGATATTTGGCATCGTTGTAATTCTCCTTGATTTCTTCGAGTCCGATCCCGATCAGTTTAATCTTCTGGATAACATGAGGGAGCCGGAGAGTGAGATACCATACAGGAATATCTCCGACGACAAATGTGTTGATTAGGTATTCAGCTTCATATGCCGAGTCTATAATCCGCAATACAGGCTCCGCGTGAGGCTGCTGCTGCTCGAAAACTCCAAGCAATGAACTCACGAGCATTAGCTCCTCGAGCAGAGTCGTCACTATTCCGTTGCACGCATCAGCAATCGGACCACCCTCCCGACTCATGAGTAGTTCCTTGAGGTCATTGACTAGAGAATTCACTACGAAAAGAGAATCCACGTCAGCGGTCGGAGCCGTAGAACTCAGCAAGAGTGGAACTCCGAGGGAACAATGCTCTTTGATCTTCGCTTCCACGCGCTGAAACATCTTGAGCAGTTCAGCAAGCGAAAGATCGACCCTGCTCAGATGCGATTCGTTCGTGAAGAAGTACAGATGCAAGAACCTTGCCGCGTCGTTGGCCACATCCATCACTTGTTTCAAGACATTGTTGTTGGTTCTCTCGATCTCGGTGCAGGTAAAGGGCGTATCGCCTAGAATGGCGGCGAGAAACGTAAGCTGTTCCTGCATAATACCGATTTCGTCCTCGAGTGGATCGGTCAAATCTGAATGGCACTTCACTATTTCCTCCACTGTATCGAGGAGAAAGTCGAGAAAGCTGGCGAGAAGTTCGTTAGGCCTGTAATTACTGCAATCGGCACACAAGTCCACCACTTCTGGAACTCTGAAGAAACCCCCGAGATTTTCGGTGAACGAGAGGACCATCCCGGGAAAACGAGAGGTGTTTCTTGAAGCCTCGAGGCTCTCTAGCAGCTTGATGGAGATGTCGCCAGACGAACGCGATCGCTGCAAGTAGCGAACGACGGCGGATACATGGCTTCCGTTCCACATGAAAGTATAGAATTTCTTGAATATTTTCGAGTTCAGACGCCGCAACGTATGACAGAGTTCCGGATTCTCGAGCAAATCCATTCTTCGGAAACTGAGAATGTAACTATACCTCTCCCCAAAAAAAAACCACAAAAGAAACACTAATACTAATACTACCATACCACTCTATTCATTACAATTTTCATCTTTGCATCATATTCATATTTTTTTTTTTGATTATTATTGTCTTTTTCTGAACAAACTACATGTTATGTTATTTAATTTGAGATTAAAATACACTATTTTTTTTTTTTTAAGGAAAGCACATGTGACATGTCTTTGGAAAATCATATAATCAGACAGAATTAATTGGTAAGACACTTGGAGTATAAAATCATATAATCATACAGTCAAAGCTTAGGATTTTATGGGAGAGTAAACGACAAAAAGTACCTCTGTCTAATCTTCAAATAGCAAAAAAGACCCTATGATAAATAAACTAGCAAAAAACTCCTATGCAATTATTTATATAGCACACTTAGTCTATGTTTATTTGAATGTTAACTTGATATAAAAAGACGCAAATAGCTCCGGGGTTTTACAATTAATAAATTCTTATATTTTTTAGAGTTAATCTCAAAAAGGCCCATGACAATGTGCACTTAATTAAAAAATGGATATCTAACTTTTTTGTCATCCAGCTCATTCAAACTTATTTGCAAATAAAGAAAATCCTTTTATATATACCAAAATTACCCTAAATTCATTGAAACCCAATTCAACTTCAATTTCATGATTTACACTCCAATTTAGCCAAATTTCACAAATTAACCAATTTTAACCCTAGTTTCAATTTTGAGGGTCAATTTCGTCATTTCACGTCTAGAAACCAACTACCAGTCGCGCATCCTGCGAGTGAGCCACACGAAAGTCAACCAGAAGGGGGTTTCTGCATTTGACTAAATTTCACAAGACGGTTTTTACTAGTTTATTAATTACATGGAGATTTTTGCTATTTGGAGATTATACCGGGATAATTTTTGAAGTTTACTTATTCTATGTGTCACTAAAGTTAGTGCTTTGTTGCTAACGACATGTATAATTGACTAATAATTCACTATGTATTATTCAGTGGTAAAATAAATGTTTGATGAGATCTGAAGTGAATAGTGTTATTCAACCGACGTTTAAAGTCTGCAATAAAACATCACTGTTCAATATAATTGGTAGTGACACTTAATCTACAATTAAATTTTTAGGTGGATATTACACGAGAGGGAAAAATTAATTATGCATTAGTCTAACTAATACTTTGACCCGTTCATTGCACGGAGGAATAATAACAAAAAATAAATCAAAATAAATACAGGTAAAATAAATGATATATAATAAAAAATAATATAAACAAAATAAATGTAGCCAATACAACGGAAAAGCTAAAATATAAATATTCCACTAAACTACATCCATACGGTGGAGAGAGAGAAAGAGAGAGAGAGACACGACTTACTGTTGCTAATTTTTTTTAATAGCTTGTTTTTTTTTTTTTTTTTTTTTATTTTGGGGGTCTACACAAGGAAGAAGAGTGCCCCGACAATGGTAACAAAAAATCAGAAGCTACTCTATTGAAGCTATTACGAGAAAGCCCTAAAGCGAGGTAAAAATGACATACTCTAAAGCTAGAAATTTTAAAATCGCAAAAGTGCTCCTTGATGGAGGTAAACATGTAACTCCGCTTACTCATTCAGCAAACTCCCAAAGCGAACTCCTGAAATTGCATATTAACCCCAACTCTAGAATCGAAAATTGTGGATTGCACCCTAGGAGATAGAGATGCAATATCCGCCAAACTCCACTTCCAAACCAATTGTAGAAGAAAGTTATGGACGAAAATTGAAAACACCCAACTTATCACCTATATATGCAGCCCGATCCTCCCTCGGTAAACTCATTTCAGAGAAATATTCTTGATTTGACTTATGAGAATACGCCCAATTAGCCAATCAATCCGTGACCGTGTTTTTTGCCTCACGACGTGCTGGAACGAGAAGGAAGGCTCCATCTCCTTCACGCATTGTCGAAAAATATACTCAAGCTCCCATGCAATGTTCTTGGTCCGAATTGCATTGACGACCAATAAGGAATCACTTTCCACTGTAATTTGTGAGAGACCAGAAGCTTGCACAATCTAAGACCATGAACCACCGTCGAGAATTCCGCAAAGTTATTGGTGCCAACCCCAAAATATTTTGAGAAACTAGCAACTACACCTCCTTCTGAATCCCTAACAATCCCACCGCCCGTACATTCCTTCGCCGTGGAAGAACCAACAGTATTAAGTTTAAAAGCACCATCCTTGGGCCGCTCCCATTGGAACCATTTTCCACGCTTATAGCTAGGCTGCACTAAACGGACTCCAATGGCTTGGAGTTGGAGACTTTGAAGCTTCGTAGACGGCTGTCGAGGAACAGGATTGATGACCAGGTGATGAATGTGAGAAAACACTCGACGAATAATATTTTCTCTATGCATCACTCCCCCATCATAAATTACTTTGCATCGAGCCACCAACAACTCACAAAGAATATGATACACGGTAAATGTTCTAACCATTGTGTACTGCGTTTGTATTTGTGGTTTGGGGACTCAAACAGTAAGAGCATGCTTCGACGACACAAACTGTGATGGGAGATGAAATAGCGGGCTAAAGTGCTGCCATACTTGCCCCGCCACTTCCGATTGGAAAAAGAGATGCTGGACGTCTTCTTGTTGAGGATTTTTACAGCAAACACATCTGGATACCATCGAAATTCCTCTAGAGATAATTTGTTGATCAACGGGGAGAGCGCGATGCATCAATTTTCACATGAATCCACCCGTCTTGTGTGGCAAGAGCTGGTGCCATATGCGATCTGTCCACGCCTCTCTTCGCCCCAAAACCCTTATATGTCTCCAATACTCTTTAGTCGAGAAATCCCCATAATGCGTAAGAGTGAATATCAACTGATCCGGCTGATCAGGCTCCAACGTAACTTTCCTTACCGACTCATGCAGGGAAGGAGGAATTAGTGTTAGATATTCCGAAAGATGTTGCATGGCGGTTGCAACAGATAAAGTGTGGTCACTTGGAAGAGGCCCGACAAACACTTTACCTACCCAATTATCCGCCCAAAATCTTATATCTCCAGAACCCACATTCCACTGAGTACACTCGGCAAGTGACTCACTATGACTATATATCGACCTCCATAAAGGAGAGGTCGGTTGTCCGGTAATGTCCGACGTTGATCGCAATACTTGGCATTAGCGAACATCGCCCACAGAGACTTTCTTTGCATAACTTGCCACAAAAGCTTCACATGCAAACACCACATCACCTGATTAAGGGGCCGAATACCCAAACCCCCCTCTTCAACTGGAGTACAAATAGTTTTTCATTTCACCCAGTGAGTCCTCGATTCACCGCCAGAACTCCATAAAAAGGCAGCAATTGATTGCTCTAGCCGTGTTAATAACCGATATAGGCACCTTCGAACAAGCCAACGAGTAAATCGGAATGCTACTCAACACTGCCTTGAGTAACATCATTTTACCTGCAAAAGAAAGAAACTTCCCTTTCCAACCTTGAAGTTTACCTCAAATCTGAGTGACAAGATATTCAAAAAATTACACCTTAGTCCTACCAGAATGGGAACCCCAAGATAGTTGAGAGGGAGGGTTTTCCGACGGATCCCCGTAACTTGCTCAATATTGCTACTCTCTACTTCTACTCATTTACCCACGTAAAGATGGCTTTTAGTCACATTAACGAGCTGCCCCGAGGACCTTTCATACGAATGAAAAATCTCCATTAGCCGATGTACAGAGTGGCGCCCTCATTCGTAAATATGAGGATGTCATCCGCATACAGTAGGTGTGAAACCGAGAGTTCATTATGGCCAACCTTGTACTGTGATGTTTCTTTCGAATCAATCTTTCTATTAACGTTGAACGTTAATATCTGTTGGGCGAGAATAAATAAGAGAGGCAAGAGCGGATCCCCTTGACGAACCCCACGCGAAGATTTGAAATTGCCGACCATTTCCCTATTAATAGGAAAGGAGTACCATATATTGCATATATTTCTGTAAATTAAATCACAGGCTGCATGAGAGAAGTCAAAAGCACGCATTGCCCGAAGAAGAAAGCACCACTGTAGTCGATCATATGCTTTTGCCATGTCCAATTTAAAAATAATATTGCCTCCCTTACACTTTCGATTAATATCACGCTTAATTCTTGAGCCATGACTATGTGCGACATAATATTACGACCTTTGACAAACCCTGCTTGCTCCTCTGAGATTACAAACGGTAGAATTTTCCCCAATCTAGTAGCAATGATTTTAGATAAGAGTTTTCCAAAAAAATTACCGAGACTTATTAGCTTATAATCACCAACGGTCCGAGCATTCTCAATCTTAAGAATTAAAACCAAAGTGGTTAAATTCATCTCTTTAAGAATGTGACCCCCTCGAAAAAAGTCTATTATAAAATTCAACAGTTCCACTTTAATAATATCCCAGCAGGCGACATAGAAATGCCCGGTAAAACCATCTCTGCCAGGTGAGCTATTCGGGTTCAACCCTTTGGCCGCCTCAAGAAGTTCTTCCAGATCTGGGAGACGCCAAAAGGCTTCATTCACTTCATCGGACACTAAAGGTTGAACCCCAAGAAATAGATTCTCGTCCAGATCATACTCTGATGCCTTGAATAGATTGGAGAAGAAATTCTCTGCGAGTCGATGTGGAGCCATCACCACAATGACTTGGATAAGAGCTCTCTTTCAGTGATCTTTGGTGGTCGCGTGAAAGAGGGCAGTATTACGATCTCCGGATTTGTTCCAAGCCATACGTGCCTTTGAACTAAACAGCTCTAACTCCCAGTCTTCGTACTGAACTAGCTGTTTTTAGCCAAAGTAATATTTTCCGAAATTGATTCGCTCCAGCCTTGTTGCAATTCGTTTTCAAGAGATTCAACGCAAGCTTGGCGACACCGAATATTATTAGTAATGTCTCCGAATACCTCCCAATTCCAATGTTGGAGAGCTTTTGGAACGAACGTAAGCTTCTGTTGAAATACATAAAAAGGGGAACCGTGAACTGAAATGGACCATGCATGAGAAACCACAGCTTGAAAACTAGGGTGGTCAACCCACATACGTTGAAACGTAAACCCTTTCCCAGCCATTTGCTGGCCCTGTTCAAAACGAACACTAAGCGGCGCATGGTCGGACATTGTTTTCTCTAGATGAAGCACCTGCAGAGATGGAAATAACAATTGAAAATCGGAATTGATTAACACTCTATCCAATCTCTTCCGTATCCTAGTAAGACCCGATCGATTATTGCTCCACGTAAATGGGTTAGCAATAAAACCTGCATTCAAAAGCCCCACTTGCATAACAAAGTCCTGGAAATCATGCATGCGGGAAACATCTGCTAGACCCCTTTTTTTCACCGAGACATCCAAGATTGTATTAAAATCGCCACCCACTAGCCACGGCGTGCCCATAGTACCATTCAAGTCATCAAGATGAGCCCAAAGGTCCTTTCTAGTTCAATGGGAGCAGCTCGCATATACAAAAATCGCCGTAAAAATGGGGTTTTGCGGGATTGCTATAGACACCGTGATAGCTTGCGCAAAATATTCAAACACTGAACATCAATCTCCGGTTTCCACAAACTCCAAATAAAAGTTTTGACATCATTCCCGTGCAAAAATGAGGAAAAACCTAACTTTCAGGCAAAATTCTTCAATTTTGAGAAAGGTAATTTAGGCTCTAATTAGGATGCAGCGGTATGGGGCGGGTTTTGCAATCCCCATCCCCGCCCCGCTATGGAAATCCCCATCCCCATCCTCGTCAAAAGTCTCCACGGCTATTAAAAGAATCCCCATACCCGCCCCATAAAATCTCCACGGGTATCGGGGCGGGTAAAAATCCCCGTCCATTTTTTTTCCTTTTTTTTAATAAATAAATATGCAATCTACTTATAATTTAAAGGCTTATTTCAACAAATAAAATAATATTTAAATATAATACTAATATTTAATTATATAATCGAAACCTAAAAATCCGCATTTATAGTTAATATTTAATATATTATTATTATTTAATTATTTATATTTAATATAATAATTAATAAATATATATTATATATATATAAATAATGCGGGGCGGGTACGGGGACGCGTACGGGGCGGGTCTACGGGGCGGGTATAGGTAAACCCATCCCCGTACCCGTACTCGGTAAAAAAAAAATTCAATTCCAATACCCGCCCCATTTTTTTCGTGCGGGTAATACCCGAAAATTTCGGGGCAGGGCGGGGGCGCGGGGATCCATCGGGGCGGGTCAAATTGCCATCCCTAGCTCTAATATAACCAAAAGGGAAATCCGTTGCTGCTTGATAATAATTTTCAGATTAATTTAGGCTCCAATATAACCAAAAGGGAAATCCATTTTTTTTAATAGTTAAAAATGGGAAAATTACAGTTTATGTCCCTAAACTTTACCACTAAAACGATTTATGTTCTCAAACATTTCAATCCACGAAATATGTCTCAAACTTGCCACTTTTGATTACTTTATGTTCTGCCGTTAACGTCGGCAGCTAACTTCGACGGAAATAGCACGCGTGGCTCACGTGACGTCTATGTGGCCGTTAAATGTGACGTGGAATAATATATTGAATATTAAATGTTGATGTGGCACAAGAATATACTAATTTCCTATAACTCAATCTCCCAAATCCCAAATCACGTTTCATTCACATTCCCAAATTTTCAATCCAATCTGCATTCTTGCTCGAACCCATAGTAAAATCGAAGTCATAAACCCATAAAAAATCCAAACATTCTCACATTTGAAGAGTTTTTCCCTTCTCAAAGAACAACAGATTCACGTGCAAACACATGCCTGCAATCGAGAGGAAGAAGGTAAACGCGACTCCTCTTCTGGTTCTGAAAAAGATTTTAGAGGAAGCTTTAATTCATCTCCCAACTCCGTCTCTAGAACGTTGGGGTCGTGTGATTCTTCACCTGCTGATGCTTGTGCCCCTTGTGGTCTCGATGAAGCGAGCACAAGGATAGAGACGGCACAAATTCTACCCAACTCAGCAGTTTCAGAACCTGCCCAGAAAGTGTTCGACAAAATGTCTGAACCAATTCCGAAAAAAAAAACATGCAGTACCTGTCAAAGCTGCATATAATTCTTTTTTCGCCAAGAATAGAGTGCCCAAGAACGGAATCCAGCTTCCCGACTTCTCCAACGAAGTGGAAGAAGACATGATATTTCAGCCCGAAGATGAAAGTGAAATCGAGGAAACATTTGACATTTGTTTATTGGGCTATTTTGCTGGTAAAACACCACGAAAAATAGCCATGGATTCACAGACGATACAACTACCCACAGGGGGAAAAAAATCATATCCACGCAATGTTTAGGTTATTAGTAGAATAGAATAGAACTTTTCGGAAGTAACTACCTACTAAATCGATTATACTTGTGGTTTTCACGTTAAAAATGTACAACTACCCGTAGACAACAATATACATTTAACTACTCGATATCTACGTTATTGTAGAATAGGATAAAACATCCGTGGAAGAACTACTCACTAAATCGATTATGGTTATGGTTTTCAGGTTTAAAAAACCACGCACTGTTATACAACTACCCTTAATCCCCCCCTTTTTTTTAACATAATTAGTCAAAATTTGAAACTGAAATGTTAAATGTCGTCGTTTCAATTTTACTAATGTTGTTTTGACTTCGAACCTGATTTTAACGTGTTTCTATTTTGATTTTGGCAAAATTCGAAAAACGAAAACTGTAGTCCTTTAGGTTAGCTTTCTAATCCAACTTAAATCCGCTAGATTGGATGCCGTGTGACAAAGTTATGCATGAATGAGTCACATTTTGAATTTTAGATACCTCAATGCATCGAAGTTGTGGGCAGTATCCATTGATTCATGTGTATTTTTCTCGTCCGACATCCAATTTTGGTGATTCAAGTTGGATTAGAAAACTAACTCATAATACTACAAATTCTATTTTTCGGGTTTTGCAAAATTTGGAATTAAAAATGATCAAAATCACGTTTGAAGTCGTAACGGTATTATTAAATTAAAGTTCGAACGACATTTATCACATCCCAATTTGAAATTAATAGTTATACACATTCTTTTTAAACAACTTACCAGAAAAGATTGTAGGATTGCCCTCACATTTCGTTGATACCTATTCTCTCTCTCCCTTCCTATTTTTTTTTTATTTTTTATTTTTTTTCTATTTTCTATGGTATAACAAATGAACTACAAAAACAAAATGTAAAAATATGATAAAATATTTTGATAAATATTTATTTATCAACGATCTTCATCCCAAGAATGTTGGCTTTTCGACCTCCATTTTTTCCTGAAAGAAGAATCCCTCAATTTGTTTGATTGATTTCAGGTAAGAAACTATCTTGCAAGAATTCAGACCAAATATTTAGATCTTCTTGTAAACTTTGTTCGTCTCTTATTTCAAAATCATCGATACGTATCACATCACGTACGTCGGTACGTGTATTGATAAATTCCGAAACACGAAACACAAAACAAAATATATATATATATAGGAAAAAGAAAGAAATGGAATTTTTCCAGAAAGCAAACTCAGTGAGGCTCATAAGCTACAAGGACAAATACCTAGTAGCCGAGTCGGACCAAGAAACCATCATCCAAATCGACCAAGAAACCATCACCACACAAGAACGAAGCAACAAAATTAAATCGTCACCATCGATTTGGACAGTCGAATTAGTCGAGAATAAGGATAATTTAATCCGCCTGAAAAGCTGTTACGGCACGTACCTAACGGCCTCAAACTCGCCGTTTCTTCCCGGAGTCACCGGCAAAAAAGTTGTCCAAAAATCGCCATCTGATTACTGCGATCCCGCCACCGAATGGGAGCCCCTCAGAGATGGAATGCAGGTTAGAATTCAATTTTTGTATATGGAAAAATACAGTTTTCGTCCCACAAATTTGCACTGATTTCACATTTGGTCCCGCATGTTTACACAAAGAATACATTTGATCTCTCACGTTTCAATAATATAACATTTTTGGTCATTTTCGTTAATTTACCGTAAGTCCGTCAGTTAAGGCAGTGATGTACACAAGCTTGATTGCGTTAGTACTAATGAAAAATTGACGAAAATGACTAAAAGTATTGATTTTTTTAAATATAAGGGACCAAATATGTTTTTTTTTAAATATGGGGACCAAATGTGAAAACTGTGGAGAGAGAGAGAGAGAGAGTTCTTATACCCCAAGTTTGCATTAATTTCATATTTGACACCCTATGTTTGCAAAAAAGAGTTCTTATACCTCAAGTTTGCATTAATTTCATATTTGACACCCTATGTTTGCAAAAAAACACATTTGGTTCCTTGTGTTTTATAAATTCAACCATTTTCGTCAATTTTTCGTTAGTACTAACGGAATCAATGTTGTGGCCATCACTGCTTTAACTGACGGACTAAAGGTAAATTGACGGAAAATACCAAAAGTGTTAAATTATTGAAACATGAGGAATCAAATGTGAAATCGGTGCAAATTTGAGGGATGTAAACTGTAATTTTTTGTATATAGATATAATGTAGGTGTTATAATTAGGTATTTACCCACAGACTACCTTTTACGTTTGATCAGGTTAGGTTGAGGTCATTTTGGGGAAATTTTTTACGGCCCAATGGGGGACTTCCACCGTGGAGGAACTCCGTCACGCACGATATTCCTCATCGGCCAAACACCCGTAATAAGTTGTTGTGGGATGTTTTGGTGGTGGAGAAACGGGATGCGGTGGCGTTTGGTAATTATAGTAAGTTTGGGAGGTCGAGATCAAGATCGTTTTCAGCTTCGATGATCGATTCTAACCAGGTGCGAAATGTGGGAGCTCGTCACGAAATTATTTGAACGATTGGATATGCAGTGGCGTAGACCATGTAACGAATTTTGAGTAAAGTTGTAATATTGTCAGTCCATTTAGAGATTTTTTTTTTTTTTTTTTTTTTTTGAATTATTAGTGCATGTAATTCGGTATGTAAACCTTTATTCAAGAAAGTTACATGTTCTTGTTTGGGTGCTTGAGAGTTGGGACTATGCATATTTCAATAAATGTATTTAGTTTCAAGTTAAGATTAAAAGAAAAAAGAGTTTTTATGCAAAAGTTCCCAAGCAAGCATGTTTATTATTCTAGGTTTAGGGGACATATCTCTTTCACCAATAAGCCCATCCCTTTAATATTTATTATAACTAAAGGAAACATTCATGTATATCTCAATATTACCCTCAACCATTTATACCAAATTCTTAATTGTAATCCCAATTTATCAATTTTGTCCACAAAAATCCGATTTTGACCACAAAAATTCAATTTTGACTTTTTTTTGGAGCATAATTTAATATGCTCAAATTTCATCATTAATTTAATTTAATCTCAATTTGACCCCAAATTCACAAATTACTCAATTTTGACCCAACTTTTTTTTTGCTGTCGGATTTCGGCGTTGACTTTTTTTTTTTTTTTGCTTTTTTTTTCTTTTTTTTTTTATTTTCTTCAGGATTTTTCCGGCGGTCTCCGGGGTTGACTTTTTTTAGTGTTTTTTTAAGTTTTTTTTTTTTGGTTTGTTTTGTTTTTCCACGTCCGCCGCTAAACGTTGACCGTAATTGTGCTGTCACTGACAGTAAATTAACGTAATTATACTGTCAATGATAGTTAATTGACGTAATTGTATTGCCGTTGACATTACATTTATGTAATTGTGCTGCCGTTGACAGTAAATTAATGTAATATTATGATTTTTTTTTTATTGTTTTTTTTTTGTTCGATTTGTTGACAAGTCAACGTAATTATATTACTGTCGTTGACAGTAAAATAACTGTAAACACAATAATATTACTGTCAACAACATCAATATTATTATTTTTTTTGGGGTTTTTGTTTTGTTTGAGTTATTCACGGAGTAACGTAATAATATTACTGTCTATTATTGTAATATTACTGTAAACACGATAATATTACTGTGGTTGACGGTAATATTACTGTTGTTATAGTAATATTGTTGTCAACCACATCAATATTATTATTTTGTTTGGATTTTTTGTTTGTTTGAGTTATTCACGGAGTAACATAATAATATTACTGTCTATTATTGTAATATTACTGTGGTTGACGGTAATATTACTGTTGCTATAGTAATATTACTGTCACTCACTGTAATATTAATTCTTTTGGTTTTTTTTATTATGTTTACATTTGTTGAGCGGTCAACATAGTAATATTACTTTATTACACAATAATAGTGAGTTTTGTTGTGTTAATATTAATGTGCTAGAGATTAATATAGCAATATTACTGTGTTAAACTATAGTTTAGTTAATTTTACTGTGTTTAATAGTAATATAGTTAATTTTACTGTGTTTAACAGTAATATAGTTAATATTACTGTAAATCACAACAATATTGTTGTTTAAACGGAAAAAAAAAAGTTACAGAAAAAAGAAACGAAGAAAAAAAAGAAAAAAAAAAGAAAACAAAAGTTGAAAAGTCAACGCCGGAGACCGGCGTTGACCGCCGGTCAATGCTGGAATCCGGCGGGAAAAAAAAAGTTTTTGAAAAAAAAAAATTCTTGAAAAAAAAAGTTTTGGGTCAAAATTGAATAATTTGTGAAATTTGGGGTCAAATTAAAGTTAAATTAAGTTAAGGATGAAATTGGAGCATATTAAAATATGAGTGGTTAATTTAGTCCTTTACAAAAATTTGGAGCATGTGTTGACTTATTGGTAAAGAAGATTTTTGTCTGGATCTCTTTATGAATAAGTACCCATTGATGGGCTTATTTGTAATATGCCCAAAGAAAAATGGCTATTAGTTTCTAAAAGTGTAACTATTACACGAGTGCGATTATTTATTGTGCAAGATACCCGCTGTACCAGCTAGATTCGCAATAAACTTTAACCCTTCTTCTTTTTTTTTTTTTTTTTTTTTTTTTTTGAATCTGTTCT